GGTGTGCCCTGGAGCTGTCTGCTGCATCCACATACAACAGAGTCAGGCTGCACGAGGTTGCACGTGCTGCATACTGCTGCATGGCATGCAGCTCAAACTGCCTGAGTGATGCTCCCTCCCTCTCTCTCTCCCTGTCTCCCCTGGGCACCCACCTCCCCCTGCCCTTGAGAGTGAGAAGCGCAACACTCACCAGAGGATCCATGCACCGGCCTCAGGTGCAGGGTAACCATGCTGCTGAGGTCATCACCCTCATCTTCAGACCTGGACCCAGTGAGCAGGTCACCCTCCTCCTCCGCATCAGGTGGCCTGGTCACTGGGGGACACAGGCCGGTGTCCACTGGCACCGAGGGTCCTGCGACTGCTGTCTCATCGAGGATGGCGTGGAGGCGGTCATAGTGGGGGCAGGTGTCGGCTCCTGTCCCCTTGCCCTAGGAGGCCCAGACATAGTTCAGGCGCAGCTCCTTGACCTTGGCCTGGACCTGTTCAAGGGCCTGGGCTGGATGTTCCTGGTCCGAGAGCACCTGGGCCATGTGGCTGAAAATGCCCACATTGCGGCAACAGGCACGGGGGTCGTGGAGGGCTTCCTCTTCTGCCCACAGGTCCAACAGGGCCTCTACCTCAGCCCAGGACCAGCAAGGGGCACGTCGCTTGATGCCCCTCCAGTCCTGCTGGGAGCTCTGGGGTGGCTGCTGGGAAGAGGGTGCAGGCTCAAGGGGGGCCTGTGGAGCAGACATCTGGGCTCCTCAGTGCAGCAGGGCAGAGCCACGTGGTGGAGCTGTTGGCTGTGCTGCTGCCACCGCACGTCATCTGCCGGCTACGTGTGACTTAGGGCGGGGGGGGTGAAGAGGCGGGTCCGGGCAACAAGGAAGTAAGGAGCAGTGAGTGCGGGTACGGAGCATCCAAGCAGCCACTTGGGTTTTTTCCTGGGAGGCCAATTCTTGCACAAAAACTCTTGGCTGCCTGTCCACACTGCCCTCTTGTGCAAGCATTCTTGCACAAGAAGGCTTCTTCCTGATACGGAACATCAGAGCTCTCGTGCAAGAAGCCCTGTTTTCTGATGCTATACTGTAAATTTACTTGCACAAGTACACGCGTGCAGTGTAAACGCTTGGCAAGTTTTTGCGCAAGAATGACCATTCTTGCGGAAGAAGCCTGCAATGTAGACACAGCCTAGCAGTTTAATATATTCAAGTAATGCACACTAAATAAATGAGATCATATATTAATGTTCAAATGCTGCTCCCAAATGTATGCAGGTTCTTACACTACACCTATGGTATCTAATTCCTTTCCAACCCCATAATGTCCATTCCAATGATGCCTACAGATTTACTGAATGCTATCAAACGTGGATGTACAAGTGCCTGAATGCTAGTGCACCTAAAATGCCTTTCTCCTCATAGAAAACTCTATAGCAGCTGAGATGCATGGGCTTGAAGCACCAGATAAGCATTAAGGCTGTGTCGAGACTGCATCCCTTTTCCGTAAAAGGGATGCAAATTAGACATATCGCAATTGCAAATGAAGCAGGGATTTAAATCCCCCCCCCCACTTTATTAGCATAAAAATGGCTGCCGCTTTTTTCCTACTCAGAGCTTTGCCAGAAAAAAGCGCCAGTCTAGATGCTGATCTTTCGGAAAATAAAGCCTTTCCTTCATTTTAAGAGGGATAAGGGATCTTTTGGAAAAGGCTTTATTTTCTGAAAGATCCGCGTCTAGACTGGCGCTTTTTTCTGGCAAAGCTCCAAGTCGGAAAAAAGTGGCAGCCATGTTTATGCAAATAAACCGGGGGGGATTTAAATCCCCGTTTCATTTGCAATTGCGATGTGTCTAATTTGCATCCCTTTTACGGAAAAGGGATGCAGTCTCTAGACACAGCCTATGTGTATTATGGAGACTTGGTTTTCACAAGAGGTAGCCAAGTACCATTATTTTCTTAACTACAACTTTGAAATACCTGTATCCTGAGACCCAGGTGTGTACACTTGCACTTCCCTTCAAGCAGCTGTCTGTTCTAAAAGCTCATCTATTTCACCTTGTATCTGATATAGTAAAAGTCTGCCTGAAAGGCAGCATTGATGGAATTGATCTTTCATTTTGCTGGGCAAAGGAAGAAGGAAGAACCACAAAAGCTGTAGAGCTGCTTCTCTGAGATAAATTTTTTAAGACACTCTTCCAGCGATGCTCATTCTTCAAGCAAGGTTTCTTGGATGGCTTATTAGTTGTTAGAAATATACTTTCTATCAGTTGTTAGAAATATACAAAGACTTTATGAAGGTTCTGAAAACAGTTAAGTACCAAAAATCAGTAGTTTGTCAGGCTACCGATATTTAAATTATCTCAGAACAATTAAATTGTAGCATAAAACAGTGTCATTATGAACCATAAACTGCTGTGTAGAAAACCTTTTACAAAAACTCTCTGAATATATATCTATAAAATATATAAAATATATTATATAAAATCCAGAGGGTAGGAGATTTGAACTTTTTTTGTTGTTGTTTAAAAGAGAAATGAGTTTTCAAAATTTGCAGGATATTTCCTCAGATATGTCAGGAAATAATAAAACCACATAGTATATCTAAGCTCATTAAAAAGCTAAATTCTTATTTGATGCAAACTAATTGGAATTTCTCAGTGACTCAGGGCCTAAAGTTGCAATTTCCATACAATGTGAAAACAATTTGGCTTCCACTTATGTTGCTGTTTTTAACGGTAAAATACACCCAGTGGATGCAAAAACCAGTGGCATAGTCATCTGTCTGTCCTGCTTTAAGCATCCGTAATTTCAATATACCTTTAGAACCAGTTGGTTCCTGCAGCTTTCAGTTGTGTAAACCTGTCTAATACTAAGCGGTGTCATTTGAAATGGGGTGGGTGTTTTACTGCCAAAGCAATAATAATATGTGTACTTAGTAATGTTTCTAAAACTATTATTTGATTTTTCAGTCTGTTTCCTTAAACACATAATCTATATTTCATCTACCTTTATGGGCAATTCAACCAGGAACAGAAGCTTTTTTCCCTTTGTTTTGTATATTTTTATAGTGCATGAAACAAAGATGCACGGTGTTTCTGTTTTATACTTGCGCACCACTCTTCTTACTGCAATTCCTCCAGGATGCATTATCCTGCCATTTACTTCTCCCCAGGGATTCTTTTCAAGAGGATCCTTCTCCTTCCCCTTCTCCCCCAACAGAGATAGCCTTATATTCCCTACTGTCTGTCTCATTAACTTGCCAGCTACAATCCTGCATACAGTAATCAGCCCCGTGTCCTGTTCTCCCCCCACTCCGCCCCCCACACACATACATTGTGGAGCCTGACTACACAGAGTCTATGGGGTATTTTGGAAAGGGCAAACAATGATTTTAAGCACCTGAGCTGTCCCATTGTCTACAGTTCATGGACTTAAAGTTAAGCACACGCTTAAGTACCTTATTGAATCATAAGGTTTTCCCAAATAAGCCTATTCCACTCAAACAATAACGAACCATTTAACACTTCATTTGCATATATGTAAGTTACAGCCTCTATCTTTCTTGATACCCACACCAAAAATTTTCAAAGGCAATGGATGAAGATTTTCGAGGTGAAATCATATTGGAGAAAAGCTTTTTAATATTAAAAATCCATATGTGGAATTGAAAGAAAGTGTGTTTGCTCTTTCCTTTGTTCTTCATTACACGGTTTTAGCAGGTTGCTCTTTTCTTTTCCTCTTCCTGTCTTGTGGATCACAGCAGAATTTTTACAAGGTCAACTCAGTTCAGTCAAGCTCAATGCATCTTCACAAATCTCTCTTCTCACCCCACCCTCCTCGTCACCTCAGTAGAACAGAACACTAAGGAGTGGAATGCAGAACAAGGCTGATTTCAGTGCCACTGATTTCCTGGCTAAGATAAAGTATCTTTCATAGGCCTTGAGTTGCTAATCCTTTACTGAAAGGACATTGCCAAGCATGCTTTTTTGCTCTCTATAATTCTCAAACTTACGGTGTGTTCCATGCAGACATAGGTCTGTATTTTCCCATAGTGCCACTGATGTCAACTTAGTAGATTTGGGAGCCAGGACTGAACTCCTATTTTTCTTTATATTGGAATGGGTGGGGGAAGAAAAATAAGAGAGAAAATAAAAATAAACAATGTGGAAAAATAGAAAAAGAGACTAAGAGAGCATGATGGATGTTATTTTCAGAAGGCCACACTCCCTTCTCCTGTTTCTAATGTTAAAACTTTCCACCATCTCTTTGGAATGTGACATAGCAAATAAATCAATCAGGAAAGCATGACAGGCTTTTATTCAGCAGTAAGCAACTGTGCCTCTCAATGCCAATGGGAGGCAAAGGTTATTTGTAGGGGGTTTGGGGGAAATGTACAAGCATTTTGCCTGCACATTACTCTTTTCAATCATATCAACACATTGTTTTTCAAATCTTTCCTTGCCCTCCTGGCTCCTCTATACCTGCATAAAAATCCCTGCACACAGGACCAGACTATAGAGCATTTTGCTTTTTAAACAGTCAAAACAAACATTTTTTAAGAGGAGCCTTTAGGGATGGGCAAAAGGCCAATTTGTCTTTTAAATGTCTTTCTGTAATAGTTAAGAATACTGTATCTGTGGGGAGATGGCCTTTCCACTGTATTTATTCAGATGGTGATGTAATATCACCAAGGCAAGTGAGAAAAGTTAAAGGCATTGTGAGGGGGTATACAAACCCCACACTGAGACAGAAAGGGTTAAAGATCAGTAACAGGGCAACATAGCTCCTCCCCTCCCTCCCAGGCCTGCAGAGCTCTGACTGGAGACCTTTTTCATTTGAAATCTTTTTGATAAAAATGGCTTTTTTAGCAAAATGAACATTTCATTAGAAAATGTGTATCTTTGAATACATTTTATGGGTTTTTGTCAAAATAAAACAAAAAACTTCTTCTGTTTTCAGCAAATAAAAACTGAAATTTTGGAGACTGGCTTTTCAACAAAATTCCAAAAACATGTGAAGCATTTTGGCAGAGAATGTTTTATCTTTTTTTAGGAGCAGAAACAAACCAAAAAAAACCCCACATCTTCCAAGCAGTGCTAGTTAATATTATTAATATAAACAATTTGCCCAGCTTTACTTGCAATATACTCCTTAGCTGTACCTGTCATTTAATTAGCAAGATATTTTTCATATTTATTTTGCTTGATGAACCTACCCCCGTATACTGCCATAGCCTTCTTATAGCAACTAATGTACAGTTACCAAAACATAAACCATTCTAAATATGTGTGCTTTGCAGCACTCGTCTTCTCTTTTCCTTTTTAACTAGGGAATTGTTAACAAGGGACAAATTGTTATGACTCTGTCAGATGGAGTGAGAGGAACTTTCAAATGTCAAGTAGACAAATCCTAAATCCTTTAATGTTTTATAAATTATAACCAATATCTTACACTTTACCAAGAAATGAATAAGCAGACAGTTCATATTAGAGCCCTTCACATAGATCCCTCTTTAATTAATGAGCAGCCACATTCTGAATTAAATTAAGATTCTGGATTCTCAGTATTGTTCAGTTAATACTAGTAGAAGCCTAGTCTCAAAGTGGCTAATGTATGGCTAACTGTGGCAAGGGACATATCTGATAAAAGAATCCCAATTTTTCTTTTCAGGTGCGGATGATTTCAAAAAGCACTCCAGGCCAGAGCTCCTTTGTTAACATCCAGGATTGGCCAATGATCAAATACATTTCCCACATTATGAACCGAAATCACAAATGGTGGAAACACTCTTCTGTCTGATGCAGTGATGTAACCTTCCTAACTCTTCTAGTTCCTTCTTCCAACCCATTCCAACATTACCTCAGTTTTATCTGTTCTTAAGCCTTCACCAGTTAGTCAGCATGGAAGCTCCAATCTCTATGCCTCAGTAAAACTGTAGCTTTGCTCAGTCATCTCATCATAACACACGAAGTCAGAGCTTCTCATGGTACATAATTTTCAACAGGCAGGACTTTAAAAAGACTGCACTGAAGGCCTGTGACTGGAAAGCATCTACAGATTTAGCATTACCATAATGTGTCATGTCTCTTGCTTTTCCTCCGGGTGCTGGCTGATATCTATGAGCCACAAAGTTTTTAGATCCAACAGCAGCCCTTCATCTGCCACAGAAACTGGTCTCGCTCTTGCTCCGTTCTTATGAGCAAAATACTGCTTGAACTTCTTATCCTCTGGGTCTTCCAGCATTAATGTTATGAAAATATTTTCTTCTGCAATCCTGCCTTCAAACACCATTTGCGCAAATATCACCAACTGAGCCATGTCACAGATGTGAGTTTGTCAGACTGGAGAGAAAAAAACATTCACATTCATTCAAAATATTTTCCAATTGCTGACAATGATTCAACATATCTAGCTTCTGTATTTACACCAAATTCAGAATATTCAGTTGTGAATTAAGATGTAAATTGCTTGTTTGTTTTAGAAAACATTGAAGAGAAATTGCTTCAGTTATTGCTTTTTATGCCACTACACCTCCGTGAAAACCATGTAGGCTACGTCTAGACTGGCCCCTATTACGAAATAGCCATGCTAATTTCCAACTTTGGAATAGGGAAATCCGCGGGGGATTTAAATATCCCCCGCGGGATTTAAATAAACATGTCCGCCGCTTTTTTTCCGGCTTTAAATCCCGTGGGGGATATTTAAATCCCCCGCGGATTTCCCTATTCCAAAGTTGGAAATTAGCATGGCTATTTCGTAATAGGGGCCAGTCTAGACATAGCCGTAATGTTTTGCAGGTCTGAGCAACTCTGAAAGAGGTCAGTGATGGCTCTCTCTTTCTCTTTTTAAAGTAGTTTAAAAAACATGAGGGTCTAATAACTCACAGATAGTTATTTTTAGTATATTCCACTTCCAAATTTTCATAAAGTGTGTTTAAAAGCAATGCTCCAAAATCCCCTTTCCACTGATCCCAGCATCGATGGAACAAATATGTACTCACTTATCTCCAGCCTTTGTAGACAAAGGACTTTTTCTACTCTTTATGAAGCTAACTTTTCTGTGTGGGATATTCAACGGCAGCTAAGCAGTGATCTATGGTCATCTTGAAAGTTTATTGAATTTGGGCTCCTAAATCAAATAAGTGCTTTTGAAAACTATACCCTCTCCCCATTTCTCTCTGAAATGCACTCTGTGGTAGGGTGCATACCATGCCCATTGGCACTGCTCCTCACAAGAACTTCCGGGCTGGTGCAGTCTCTTTGGGTACGTCTAGACTACCGCATTTTGTCAACGGAAGTTTTGTCGACAGGTACTGTTGACAAAACTTCCGTCGACAAAGAGCGTCCAGACACATTGAGTTCTGTCGACAAAGCAAGCTGGTTTGTCGACAGAACTCCGTAGTCTGGACGCAACGTTACAGGCAATAACACCTTCTGTCGACAGAGTTCTGTCGACAGAAGGTGTTATGCCTCGTAAAATGAGGTATACCAGCGTCGACAAAACTGCTGAGTTCTGTCGACGTTATATCGACAGAACTCAGCGGTAGTGTAGATGCTGGTATAGTTTTGTCGACAAAAGTCCACTTTTGTCGACAAAACTAGGTAGTCTAGACACACCCTTTATTTGTATACATTTCCCACCCTCAATTTCTCACTATATGCAGGCTATTTGCAGTGGCTCAGCCTAAGACAGGTTTTTAGACCCTATTACATGAGTTATTCCTGAACAGCTCTAGTGCAATAGCTATTTTAGTCAATTTCTCTATGTAGACAAGCCTTTAGGTTTTCAGGACACCTCATATCTCCCTTCCTCAAGTCATCACCAGGTTGCTCCCCACCCTGCACCCTCCCCGTGAGGAATGTTAGTTTACTGAAATGGCAGAGGTCAGTTTCATTACTCTCACCTCTCTGCATAACACCCATTCTCCTAGCAAGATAGAAAATGTAAACCCTTTATTTTAATATTTCATTTTCCCCTCAGGAATCGTTGCAACCTTTTTTCATTCACTCCCTGATTTAGAGAATGATCTACTTGTTCTGGTCATCCAAACAATAACCCTCATGTCATTTTTCAATCCTTCCTCACTTCTGAAATGCTGACCACAACAGATTAGCCATTAAAATTCTCTTATCTTATTAACTTAAAAAACCCAACCAAATCTTATATAGAATCACCAAAACTGAATAACCATGTAATCACATTTTGTATGCCTCATCCTCCTACCTCTTTTATTTCCTGTGTCTATATTACATCTAAAATATAGGCCGTACTCCTACAATCTGATCTCTGTGGGGGAGAGGAACCCTGCCTCTACACAACCTCACTGACTTCTCAGAGCCTGCTTGGATGTCAATGTACCTTAAATTGTGTTTTTGGGCCGACCACACAGCAGGAGATCGAAGGGAGCACCCCCATCAACTTCCCTTATTCCTCGTGGTGAGCAAGACTGCCAGAACTGATGGGAGCACCCTCTCAGTTCAAATTCAGGGGTCTTCACTAGACCCACTAATTCAAATGCTAGAAGATCGCCCTCCAGAGAGTCGATCTTCTCCATAGTGTAGACAATCACTAAGTGATAGAAGAACTAGAGGATGCCAAATGAAATTAATGGGTAGCAGGTTTAAAACTATCTAAAGAAAGTTCTTCTTCACACATTGCGTAGTCAACCTGTGGAACTCCTTGCCAGAGGAGGCTAGGACTATAACCGAATTTAAAGAGAAGCAAAATAATTTCATGGAGGTTAGGTCCATAAAAGGCTATTAGCCAGGGGATAGAAATGGTGTCCCTGGCTTCTGTTTGTCTGAGGCACGAGACAAATCGCTTGATCATTGTCTTCGGTCCACCCCCTCTGCCGACAGTGGCCAGCGCCAGGTGCCCCAGACAGGCTACTGGGCTAGATGGACCTTTGGTCTGACCCAGTACAGCCATTCTTATGTTAAGTGTCTTCCCACTAACATGAAACTGCAATATCAGAATTCTGGTCAGTACTCTTTCTGGGATAAAAGATCAAAATATATTAACTTCAGTGGAACTTTTGCCTGTGTAAGGACTGGAAAATATGCTCTGTGATGGCAGAATTGTCGGGTGTACAACTGAAAGGAAATTTCCTTGGAAAGAGAATTGTGAGGTTTTTCAAGTCAGTTGAACACCAGGTAGTATTTTAAAATTTAAGAAGGGTCTAAAAATTTTAATTTGGGAGTTCCTGATCCTCTGTGAGTATCTTTGTGTTCCCCCAAATACTTTACTTGCTCATCAATACTGATGAGGAAACTGAGCCAAATTCTTCAGTCAACTATGAACATGTAAGTGGAAGCTGCATGGGCAGAATTTGACCCAGCCGTGATTCATTGTTCCAAAATAACCATTAAGATGGTGTTATCTGGAAAATAAATGATTTTGAGACAGTACTATTCTTGGTCATAATTTTCAGAGAATAGCCAAGTTTGCACTGGGATTTATAAGCATCTCCATTTTCAGATGTATTTATTTTGTTTCTAGGAAGTAAAAGCCAATTCAGAATTTAGGATTACAAATGCAAAAACAAATACCAAATTCCACTTTCTCCTAGAAACCCTTGGAAGAATTAATGTTCTTCACAAAAATAACATGCAAACAAATGGCAACATATTAAGGATCAAATGTAGGAAAATATATGGGGGAAAGAGAAAGAGTCTTGTTTAGGAAAGCAGATACATTTGTGGTTAAATCCCATGGAAGCCAATGGCACTTAAACACATACTTAAATTCTTCTCTGCATTACTGCTAAAATGAGAGGGACCTAAAATATCTTATAAAGAAGAAGTCCCAAAATGATATGAGATTACTTTAGCATACAGCCAAGAATCTTATCTGTAACCTTACTTTCATGTTTATGCCTTTCTGACTGCAATATTTTATTATAAAATACTTCAGAGAAAATCAAAATGCTGAAGGGTGGAGATAAGCAAAAATCTCAAATAAGGTATAGATTCATAGTATACTTAATCCTCTTTAATCCGGCAATTTTGGGAAATAGGTTATGCTGGATTATGGAATTTTCCGGACCATGAGTGTTCACCATAATGAAGGATAAACAAAGTCTATTACTAAAGCTTTTGTATGTACAACTGTTATAGAGTACTGTACATGTATATCATGTCATAAGATAAATCCTTAATGCCTTTTATTTAAGGTGTTATTGGGAACGGAGGGGGCAAGAGTTGGGTGCAGATGCAGGGTCAGGGAGGGAGGGAGGGTGCAAAGCACACTGGGTGCAGGACTTGGAGCCACAAGTGGGGATCAGATCACAGACACCCAGATTAAGGAGGTTCAAGTTTATGAACATACTCAACAGGCTGCCTGCAAAATTGAAAAAGCACAAACATGTTCACCATGCCTGGAAATGCCCTCCCAAAAAGGGGCGGTTGAGGGAATTGAGCAGCTGCATTCAACAGAGCATTACAAACAGAAAACAAAAAAGGTAAAATACTGGTGACCCAGATTTTCATATTTACCAGCCCTTATCAGAAAATCAGCAGAATCCCAACTTCTTGCCAACAAACATTTCTCTTTTTTTTAAATAAAAAATATCTTCTCCTGAAAAGGTACCGGTGTGTGTGAAAAGTGAAATCTGATGATAAAATATCTTTAGTTCAATGCTGGCTGATTTAATGACAGTATGAGGCATAATTATTCAGTTAAAAAGTTGTGTGTGAGGGTGGGAGGAAGAGTTGTGAGTCAGCTGGGACATCTGCTATCATGTGAAGTGGTAGCTGCCCACCCTGAACAGCTGAAACAGATTGGAGCATCATGCATCTTTGGTGTCTGACTGATGCTAATTTATACTAAAATATTTGTTCTGCCTTTTTTTGGTTTTGGAAGGATCATGATGAAGCAATGCTGTCCCTGTCTCTTAGGCCGTGTCCAGACTCGGGTTTTTTCGGGAAAAGTAGCCTTTTCCCGAAAAAACTTCCCCTGCATCCAGACTCAAGCCGCGTTCTTTCGAAATTATTTCGAAAGAATGCGGCTTTTCTTTCGATGGCGGTAAACCTCATTTCACGAGGAAGAACGCCTTCTTTCGAAAGCTCCTCTTTCGAAAGAAGCCTGCAGTCTAGACATAGCCTTAGTAATCCACAGTCAAGAGCAAATAGATATCAATCAGTGAGCAACAGTGCTACAATAACTTATGTCCATACATGATACATCATAATTTTGCTTTTTGTACTTGAGCACCAGTTGCAGGCTCTATACATAAATTTGCATGACATCTTCTGGTGTAACCCCCGTTCACAGTCTCATACAGTGGCAACTGGTACCTGAGGAAAGAGGGGGCACAGGGAGGACTTTCCAGAAGGACAGGGGG